AAAAAAAGATATGGGGTAAAAAAGTATGGATTTTTAATACTTAAAGAATAGGAAATTCCAGTTAAAAATTTGGCCTTGAAATATTAATAGCGGGTATTCAATACATTCTGGTGGATTAGGGAATTCCGTCTTAAGTATTTTTTGAAACTATTAAGCGGGTAGGTATTATGCATATTGTTCTACCACATTCATGCTAATTCACTGCAAGCAAAATGTGAGACCATCATCCCAACATACAAATGAAATATGCAACACACTCTAAGTGTTGCGTTGCCGAACCGCTATACCTGCAGCGCTATACCGGCAGCGCTACGCCCGTCATAACAATTTTTTTTTGCTTAATCTAATCGCGATCGGTCAAATTTTTGCGGATTTCGTTACTTTAATGTTTATTGCAAAATACTATAAATTTTTTTAATTTTTGAGGAGAAGTCATTAAAATTTTCATTTCTTAACTTAAAAGTTAATTAACAATTTGAAAAAATTATTTAAATTCATACATATTTTTCAAAGTAAAAGTTTTGAACTATAACTCCTGAAAATTTCATTAAAAATCACCAATAGTTTTCTAGTTATTAATTTTTAACTAAAAGTAGAAAAAATTTTCAATTAAAAAAATTGTTGTTAAAATTAAAATTTAAAAAACTGAGCAGGGATTACTTGCTTATGATGACTACTTTATGAAAAATACTCACATTCAAATTCGATGATCAAGTGGAAAATGGGGTCCACTTGACGTGTTTTACTCATATGTATGTAGGTATATTTCGTCCATAAAATGCAAACCAACGTCTCATCAAATGTTTCGAATTTGTTAGACATAAGTACAAAATGTTAGCTTCTTTATCATATTTATATAACTAAGTTATAACCAGTATTTTAAATAATATATCATCAAGTGCATGATTTTCTTAAGTAAAAAACATATGAACGCTCATGCTAAAGAGAAAAACAGGAGAACATTGATTTTTGTTATTATTATTATATTATAAATTTTCTATTAGTGCCGATTATTAGTAGACTACATTATATGAACAATACTCGTATGTTCGGTATTTTAATAAAAGTGAGTGAACATGTTTTCTTTCATATATTGTAATTAGCAATATACCTTTAGATTATTGTTCCTGCAAATTGCGCGAGAATGTAAAAAGTTCGGCTACATTCGAATTTAGTCTTTCCTTACTTGTTTCATATACATTTTTACTTTTTAATACACATTTATATTGATGATAAGATATTTTGTTCAGAAAACACCAATTCGAAATAACACAAGACACATAAAATAAAGTGTAATTTAAAACTAGATTTTTATCTTATATATATTTCTAGTTTTATGTCAATTCATAATTGAAATTATGTTGCAATATCTTAAGTATATAATTTTCTGTTCTCATGTAAACTTGTGAAAGTGATATTACCTTATTTTGCATTTCAAATGATGATTTCTAAATATGTAATTTTCAGAATGATATTCTATATATTCATGACAATAAGTAAAATTAACAAAGTTTACCAATTAGGCTTTGACATTTTAAATATCGTCTAATATATCATATATAACCATTAACTAAGCATGCGAAATATGTTGGACGAAACAAAATGGATTTATTACCGATAATAATTGCAAATTATATTGTAAACTATTTATTTATAAATTTAAATAGGAAAATATTAGTATTAATTGTAAGTTAAGAGATTATATAAAGTTGCTAATGTAAATATTTCGGATCGCATCTTATTGATTTCATAAAAATGTTTAATACTCTAATAAATTTGTATCTTTGTGAAAGGGTAGGCCAGAAATGAAAACTGGGAATAGTTCGTTTGGTTTCAATTCCTGTTGCTGCGCACGAAGGTTAATATTTATTTGGAAATATATATTATATAATTATATACTTATAATATTATTACTCCATCATCTCCCCGAATTCTTTTTACATGGAAGGTACAAAAGCAGTAAAATAATAAACAGTATATACAAGCGATGTTATTTTATTAAAATAGCAAACCTCATGACTTTCTATTTAGACAGCGCGAAAACCGAATAGAAACAATTTTTTTTCCTAGATTGGTACAACGCTTTTATGTTCATGTGAATTTCGATCTCCATGTTGGCAATTGGTGTGTGTATGGCATGTGTTTATAACGTTAATAGTTTGTCAAAATTGCACTCTGCCTTAGCCGGTCGTCAAATACCACTTCAGTTGTGGAAGAAAACCCTGACCGAAAGACTGGAAAATGCTACAGACCCGCTAGACGCGCTATGTGTACACATGTGATTCTGGTTAATTCTGCCTTCGTGATCGGAGTTCCCCCCTGAAATTCAAAAATATCAAAGTCACGAAAACGACTCCGAACTGCTGAGGTTACCAGACACGTGAAGATACCTAAACATAATATTTCCGCAATGAAACGACTGACAAGGACAGTAATAGACCATTATTTTCATGGGAGGGGATTGGGCAAGAGGAGCACCTGTGATGACGTGAGAGAAGGAAAAGTCTTGCGCGGAGGCTGCCCGTCCTTCAACTACGCAATCATAGACACTGAGGAAGTCGGCGGGCAAAATTAACCCTCTCATTCTCAAACATGATGAGTTTCAAGATTTCTAAGGCCCGGCTTGTGTGGCCATCCACTCCAATTCATTCAATTCTGAGTTGATCACTACCATCTGACAAGTGCTCAACCTATCAAACTATATAGCCAGGACGACGATCCATGTTTACCCCAGAAATGGTTTCAAACCAAAGTAGCAGATACTGACAGTGATTTCCTGTTCTATTGCAGAATGGTGCAGAACAATTGTCTCACCGAATATATACATATATATGCGTCCTGTAGAGTACGCACCGAGTGGGTTTCGGAAGCCAAGGTTATCTTCATACCGAAACCGGGAAAATACTCCTTGCCAAATTGTTATAAACCGATTAGTCTAACATTCACCCAATCGTAGGGTCTTCAGGAAGAACGCGTATGTCAAATGTTAGTCGGATCATACCGCTCTACATTAAGTAGTCGGACCAATATCTTTAGACAAACAAGAATTCATCCTAGCGGTCCTCATTTAAGTGGGAGGGCTTTAATAACACAATAAAGTTGCACTGATATCATCTTAGCGCTTAATTTAACATTTACTAGAACCTGTTGCAAGGATAGGTCATATACTAGTAACAGACAACTATTAATGAAGGGAAGGTATAAAAAGCCTCACCAGATCACTTACTCTTGCTTTCGGTCACTTTTATCAACGAATTAGTGCCAGGCTTATCATTACTGCGGGCATGGTGTAATACTCAACTCGTTACAGAACTCGATATATATTGGCAATGGACTGGTAAAATAGATTTATCGGGACTTAATCACAACGGTTTCCTTCGTAAGTAGAGAAGAATGAGCAATGGTATCACCGCCGAAATATATGTATATACTTTTGATTGATGGAAAAACCGAGAACGGGAGCTCGATTTCCCGTCCCATCCATTACTCAGAAAATTACTATAAAATAAGCGAATACAGCACGAAAATTCTCTCTCT